GCCATAAAACAAAGGCCTGAGGTAATAGCTCCTGACAACCCCCTTCCCTACACGGTGGCCCGTCACAAATTGTGTTAATTGCATTAGATTGTATTAGATTGTACTATTCTTCACAAAAATAGCTTCGTTATATTTGTATCATAGCAATACCTGTAACTTGGCCTTACTGTATGTTTTCCTTTTCCCTTTGGGTAACATAATTGATATGTTAATCAATGCTCTCCTCTGTAAAGAATTGAAAAGTCTTACCTAATTGATATGTTAACCATTGTTGACCTCTACAAATAACAGTTGTGGTGCTAAAGTAAGGTAACTAAGGTTGTTAATTGCTGTTAGAATTCTCTATTCTTTGCTAAGAAAAACAAGATTTCTTCTTATCTAAACTTGCTTGTATGCAGGGAGACTTGCTTACCCTTACCTGATCTTGCCCTTCCCAAGATGTGTAATCACCCTTTCTGTTTGCGCCACACCCCCATCCCCTTCCTTACATTGTGTGACCAGCAGCTGTTTGTGGATTTACAAGATAAAAGCCCTGACTTTTAGCTGTCAGGTGCGCAGTCTCCAAATTGGCTCCTGGAGGCTGTGTCACCAGGCCTGGAAATAAAGCCTTTGCTCCCCAAATTTTAATTTCTTGCTTCCTTGGATTTTATACTGGGGTCCGAGTTATCCCATTTGCAAGTTATTCTGGCTCTCATGGAATGATAGGTAGTCCTTTGGTGGTGTGGCTCTTTGCCTCTCCTCATCTTCTCTCAATTAATACTTAACAAATAAATAAAAACAATTTATTTGCTATTTCTAACTCTAGGAAATTACGTAAGAACAAAGTATAGTTAAATAAAATGTGCACTTATTCACAGGGAGCTTGCTTTTCTTCGGATCATTATGATCCCAGCTTTCATATGCTTTAAAAGCATAGTCTTTTATATAAAGAAAAAAATCAGGAGACTTAAAAAGTACCAGTTGATTAAAAATAATTCATACGTCCTTTCAAGATCCCCTTTTACATTGTTTTTGGGTGAGTTATACATACCTTTGCAATAAAAATTATAATCTTCATTTCTCCTACTTTAATAAAAAGTTTATGATAGAAAAATTTGAAATTATAATTTTCAAAACCAGATAGTACCAAACTTATGCTACACTTCACTTAGATTTAATGCCTCTAAAATGTAATCATATTATAAGTTTCTTTTCTTTATCTAAAAAAAGTCTTTCCTCTAATTATGGGAACTAATCAACCATTGGACTGAAAGAGGCAGCTGGGTGGTGCACTGGCCCTTTGCCCAGATCTCAGAGCAAGACTAATATGAAAGCCCTTTACAGAATGCAACTCAAAGCCTACTGCTCAGAAGATCTCTCTGTAATCAACAAATGATCATAAGTGATTTCCTGTATTGACCTGAAAGCAAATTTTTTCATCTTCATGCCAGCTAAGCCACTTACTGAAAGTAGATGGATGGCATCCACAGTGAATGTGCCTAATAAAGAGAGCAAAGTCTCCTGTCTCTCCCACAAATGACATTTTGGTTGGCTTCCCAGTAGGCATTCTGTAACGACACACTAATAAGAATTTCTACCTCCATCCATGCCTTTGCCCATTCCATCGTTGTCCTTGAGAAAACTGTGGTTACCAAGATATCCTTTACACAGATTCCAAGTGAGTCACTGAGCAGACAATCAGCACAGATGATGGCCATTGTGTCTGAGAATTCTATTTATGTCTGGAAAAACCTAGGTGTGAGCACAGGGCAGAGTTGATCCTTCTGGAAATGACATCAAGGAGTTCCAGCTCACTCTGAATTCAGTTCCTTCCATGATTTATCTGCCTGTGGAGTTTGAATGGTCCCTACCAGTACTGACTCTGTGATAGTTCTCAATTTATAGTAACTCAGGGACCACTTTGATTGCTCCCAAAGGCAAAGTGGGCCAAAATGATGCTTTTGTTTCACTTAGAAGGTTCAACATTCATGTGATACACTGTCAAATTCTCAAAATTGCTTCAGAGAATAAAATTTTATTTGTACCATGCTCTATTAGATTAAGGGAGATCAATTAAACAAACTACTTCCAAAAAGCCCCTGCTTTGAATTACTGGAGAGAATGTATACAATCATGGTCTCAGATCACTCTGCAAGCATCACAGAAAAGATTTCAAGTCTGTTTCAAGAAATATACGCCATTGGCGGACTGTGGGGGTGGGGAGAGAACCAGGCCTCACGAGAAGGCGGTCCCTGCTGGAAACCATATCATTTTCATTGTTTTCCTGGGTTGGGTTTTGTTCTCTTTTGTTTGATTATGTAAATTCTGATGGCATGAACAGCTATTTAAAAGACAGCAAGACATATTATGATAGCCATTTTGGATTTACTGTTAGCTTACTTTGAAGTCTTTTGTTGTATTCATTGTTTTGTTTTTATTGTTTCTGTTCTATTGTTTGATTTTTACTATGTTGGAAAGTATCTGCAGCTGTTTTGAAGACAAGGTATTATGGTAACTACTGCTGATTTTGTAGTCTTTTGAATTCCTGTATCACATACACTAGTTTATCTTGATTGGTTTTATTCTTTTCCTTTTATCTTCTTTAAAATACAATTTTTAAAATGCCAAAAAAAAAAAAAACTAAAAAGAAATATACTGTCCACTTATTTTGCCTTTTCCTTTAGCAAAAAAAAATTATCAAGGTTCAATTTGGTGGCACAGGCCTCTTTTTGGTTAGAATGTCTTTGGCTTTAAGTTATCTGTAGTAAATTTTGGTAAGGTCTAACAAATGTATAATAATATTAATGGAAAATTCATGATTCTGTATAGCATATTACTTTGTATTTTATCTAAATGGCCAAAGTAAGGATTTGCATAATTCAACATAGTATGTTTTTTTTTCTCTCAATTTTGAAATGGTCGAGCGGTACAGTAGGCATAGATTTGCCTTATCAATGGACTTTGTTAAAATAATATTTTGACTTTGCAGAGATAGTTGTATATTTTCTATTTATTTTAATTTTGGAATTCTGAAAAGGATTGAGTCTCTGAGCTTAGGAACATCACTGTTGAAAACAGTACCATTCATTGTCTCAGATAACAGCTTGTCTTCTACTGTGCATTGTGGTATGTCTGCACACTGTGTGGTGCTGTGTCTGTCTCCCGCACTGCCATGCTCTCTCACAAATGCTATGGAAAGCAATGATGCACATCACTACCCAAAGCTGTTTAATCTTGATTTAAAATTTTTGTCTAATTTCTTGGAGATGTTTTTCTGACAAAAGAAAAGAGAACAAACAAAAACAATGTGTATTGAGTCTAACTTTGCACAAATATCCTGAGAGGGGTAGATTATGACAGGGAAACTGAAGTGACTCCTTTAGCATCTAAGGGGAGCTTCCAGAGGGCTCCCAAAATTGGTCTAAATTATCAAAAGCCTCTCCAAGGGCATTTGAGGAGAGCTGAGTTGCATGCTGTTTGACATCATGCCAGTGTGGCAGCTGTCTGCAGTTTTCATCAATGTCATTCACAAAGCCACAGATATTGACACCTGTTCAGAGATGATGTGGACCATGATTGTGTGTCAGAAGCTTGTGTGTATGTGTGGCTCACACTTTCTGAATTAAACTCATCCTGTCCTGAGCTTAGGAAAAGATGATAACATACTGGGAGGACAGGAAGCAGCACCTGCAGATCCCTCTCTCCCTTGGTGGCTGTCAGGACCAGCATGAACTGTAGCCACAGTGGCGCCTGGACATTCTGCCCCTAGCTGGCTGACTCTCAACCTGCTCTAGGTGACTTTTCTGCAACTAAATATAGGATGAGAGAAACATAAGGGGTTGATCTATTATTGCCAAATACTTTGTGGGGTGGAGCAGACCTGAAGTTTCTAATTAGATTTCTCTTAAGCAGTACACAGCTCCATGATACCTTGTTTAATTCTCATGCAAGTAATACTTTTTGAACATTGTCCTACTTTAAGCATTGCAAAAGAAAAATGAATAGTTCTTAATTTCACTGTGTTCCTAATCAAAAAGGATACAGAGGTATAGAAACAAAACTACTAAGATGTAAACAAAATGAAATTTTAAAAAATGTTACCAGGCTGCTCAGAAACTGCCATATCAAGCTCAAGTGCCAGCCTGAGTTTTGACACCGCCCATCCTCTTCACTTCCCTGAGCCAAGACTGTAGTCTGCTTCTTGACTAATGTCCTCGGCATCATAGAAGCCATATTGAATGAGTATAAACCATGCCCAATATTGTATTACCCGTGTGGTGCTCACTCTGACAGAAGAATATTTAGTCTTCCCAGACCTTCACTAGCAAGACTAAATGCTTCTCCGTCAGGCAAGCCCCTGAATCCAGCTGACAGCCTGACTTCACAGAGACATTGTGACAGCTCTTTTTAGGACACATGAGTACACACATGAGTACATACATGAGCAGAGGTCTGGGCTTTGCTGATAGCCTGCAGAAGAAAGGCAGCTTCAGTCATAAATCTGTAGATACAGAAGTGACTTTAGTGACCACCTATTCCAACTTCCTTCCAAGAAAAATCTCAATCTCAAAGGATTTCTGAAAATCTGTGAATTTCAAGTCAAGAAGACTTGGAAGCCACAGACTCAGCTGGCCTGGAGTTGCCATGGAATTGGGGGCTATTTTCTACAAACAGAAATAGGATCCACATGTTATAGCTAAGTCTTCCTTACAGAGTCTCTGATCAGTCTCTGTTCTTTCCACTATCAGCCTTCTTCTTCATTTCTCCTTCTCACTCTGTGAAGTACGACTTACAAATATAGTTAATGCTTAACTTTTAAAAAATTATCACAGTAGAAAATTCGTTGTCATTAATCTTCCCTGAAAGACCCCCTTGTCAAATTCAACATTCTTATTGCACTGTTCTTGCCACTTTCTGAAGAGTTCTGAAAAGCTTTCTAAATGTCTTTAATTCTATTGCCATGGTTTCCTTGCTATCCTGACTCTATTCAAAATATTTGCCTTTCATGGTCATTTTTCCAGATCTGGTGCAAAGATGGATGAAGATACCCTGTGATGCTTTACAAATCGGCCTTTCCGGTGGCTGTCTCTTAACAGGCTTGGCGTACCTTTATCACTCAAAGATGCTCATGAAAGACTTTCAGGACTGCTCAGAAAGTGGCAGAAGCCAGAGGACAAGTATGTTCAAAAGGAGAGGGAGTATTCTAAGCAGAATTAACAGCAATTGTCTTTTCTCTCAATACATTTTTTAAATGTAAATATTCTCCATCTATGTTGATCTCGCCTCACATTCGTTCTGCTTTGGTGGCCTCATTCACCCTAATTCAGAGAATACTAGCCCCCAGATGTACATATCCGCATCAATCACAGCCCAGAAGTAGGGTTGGCACCAGAAGACAGTACTTACTAACGGTGCTGAAACATTTTTTGTGATTATCTGACCAAAATGGTTTAAGAAAGAGTGTGCCTTTGCCACTCTCACTTCTCACCTGCCACCTACACATCAATGATGAGGACAACTCGGGAAGCTGGTTGAAGATGGCAGAGGTAGCAAAGTGTCTTCAATCTGAGTCCCTGAGTAACACACACATAGGACGTGTTTCTCTTCCCATCCCTGCCACACAACCTGACACCAATCTATATGAGACATTAAACAGTGTGAAAAATTAATTTCTGTTTTGTTAAACCAGTGATAGTTTAGGTTTTTAACTACTGCAGTAGTTACATTACCCATCTACACAAAGTCTTCTGATTCCATCCATGCAAATATCTCCCAGTTCTTTGCCTCTGGAATAGACTTCATTTTGCAGCTTCACACCTGTATATCCAACTACACAGCTGTAAGACGTGCAAAAGTCAGTGAACTCACAATGTCTAGAAATAAAATATTGAGCCACTGCCTCCCCACATACCTTGGTTCTTCCTTTGCCGGTGAATAATATTGGTGTGCATCATTGTACCCAAGCAGGGAAATAAGAATTGTTTCATATTCCACTCTATTTTCATCCCCTATAATAGTTTCTCCTAAATACCTGTACTGTGTACCTCTTTTCTCTCTCTCATTATTACTGCCTTCTTAACTGACTTAGTAATAGTATCTCACCTCCTACTCCTGCCTGTCTTCTATGCTACCACTAGAGGTTTCTCTTTGAAATAAAAATCTGATCATGCCTCTCTAAATTCATTTCATTTCATGGCTCTTGGAGAAAGATTAAATCAAGATTTAAAATCGATGTTCTAGTTTGGCCCATAAGGTTGTTCTATGGATCCTTTCCTGTCTAGCTCTCTATCATCTCTCGCAGACTCTTACTATTCCACTCATAGCATGTCCTGAATTTTCCAAAATACGTTTTTGCTGTTGAATTTGTGAGTTTCTCCTGTCCAAAATACACCACGCTCTCCTGCCACTGTTGGTCCGACTAGTTCCTTATCATTCAAACCTCAACTCAAACTGGGCATGAATATCTACACCTTTACTCCCCGTTAGAGGTGAGTAGCTGAGGAGAATTTATCGCAAATTGAAGTCCTGCTTCATCAATTTAGTGAGACCCTGTTTCAAAGTAAAAAGAAAAAGAGCTGCATATGTAGTTTAGAGAGGCCTGGAATTCAATCTCCAGCATTACAAACCAACAAAACAAAACCTTTAGATCAGAGATTATCTCCTTTGAGGATATTCAATTTTGATATCCCTATCTTTCTTTCCCTGGTGCTCAGTGCCTACATCACAGGATTTGTTGTGTTTGTGCAATCATTAGCAAATCTGGGAGCTTTTGGTTCTTTGCTTTAAGTTAATATTTTTAAAAAACAATTACTGCCCATGATATGCCCTCAACGCATGTTAATCAGTTTGACCTGTACTGTCATCCACTTCTATTGGCAGACAATGATACAACAATGCATATATAATCCTGAGGGTGATGGCTAGCTTAGCGCAGGCTTTTAATCAGTGTTAGCAGCACAGTGGTTGTCTATTATTGTTGCTGTTTGTAATACCTTCAAGTTAATCCATTCCTTTAACCATACTAATTTCATATCGTTATGTGTTTCTCTTTTTCGTTTTGACTTGAACTCCTTCAGAAGACATTTTTGCCCAGTCCTCTGTTTCCTTCCTATGACTCTGGCCACAAAGTGAGCAGAGTATGGCTAGGGGGCCTGGATCCCGTAGTTCGGGTCCCCTCACTGCCACAGCTGAATGTGAGCTGAATGAGGCATTTACTGGGCTTGTGCCTCATTGCGGCCATTTGTGAAAGCCAGTGTAAAAATAGCTTGCTGACCCACTAAAAGAGAGTAGTTTTGAGGACCAGCCTAGAAAATGAATGAAAAAGTTATTTTGTTTATACTCAAAAGTAGGTAGAAGTTATTCATTGTTATTTTTCAATAGCACAAACATGCTTACTCAGCAGAAATGGTTACTTCCTCTATTTTGTTATCACTTTCTACATTTTCACATTCCCTATTGCGTGGGCAACAGGTAAGTCATGAATACCTTCCTAAGCTCATTCTTTCTGCTTTGAGAACAAACGCTTTATTACCTCCATTGTTGCCTGAATCATTGCCTGTGACTTTTGGAGTCTATCTTCTTTGTCAATTTCCCCTCTATTTGACATTCCAATCAGAATAGCTATACTGGTTTTGGAATGAGTGAGTGAATCATTGCTACTACAAGAATTAGGAACTCTTCCAGTGCTAGCATTTTGTCTGCACTTCCTATTTGGCTTCAGGCTTTTCAGATAATAAGGAGAAGAGGAAGAGAAAGAGGAGGCAACAACAATGACATTTTTGGGCTTTTATGTGCCAGCACCTTTCTATGTCTTTTGCATTTTATTTCCACCTTAACTCTGTGAAAAGAATACATGTGACTCATACACTCTGATGCAAGCTCTGTGAGGGGCAGGGGCTTCTATATTTTGTCTGTCTCATTCACTGTTAAATCTTTAGTATAGAGCAGTGCCTGTTTTATAGTAGGCACTCAAGAAGATATTCATTGATTTTACTCTTCAAACAACTGTTGGATTTTTAGAATGTTGGAGTTTTCTGGACATTTACAACTTGCTAATTAATTTGGTGCCATACTTTATAAAATATTTTGCATGTATAGCTTTATTTAATTTAAAATTATCAAAAACGTTTTACTACTCGAACACTAAAATACAAATGCATCATCAAATGAAAAGTAAGACACGGACATTGTGATTACATTGCCATGGTTCAGTTTTGTCAATGAGTGATAAGCATTTAAATTAAGCTAAGGATGATGGGGGCTTAAAATAAGGGGTGATCACATATTGAAATTGTTGTTTGTAACTGGAAAAAGAAAAGACTAGAATATATTTTCCCAGTAGATCTTGAAAGAGTGAATTTTCATTGAATTCCAGATTTATTTACTAACAGAGAAAGGTAGCTGTAAGACTAATTCTTATAAATGTGTGTGGGTCTTTTATAAAGGCAGCAAATATTTTAATGAACCAGGGAAAATTTCATAATATGTAATTAAAATTAGAACCAATGAGGTCTAAAAGAAGCCTCACTTGCTAAAAACCATAGGATTTGCATTAAACAATGATTTGAGACAGTAATGACCATGATTTACTCATGACACCCCAACAATGAGGGGTGGTCAATGCAGAATTGAGAGAGTGCTAGCAGGCTTACAGAAAGTGTTGGGCAAGAAATCTGTGGTGCTAGAGTAGGATTATATTTTTTACATCTTGAACAATATGTCTTTAAATGCAACTGTAAATATTGCGGTGAGTTAAAGGCCAAATGAAATTTTATAATCAGAATAAAATGATTATTTGTATTTAAACAGGCATCTGTAGTCATCACTGGTTTGTAGTAGGTGAGGGGAAACATTGTTTAAACTCTCAGACACATATGAATAGTCCATTTGTCACTCCACTGTCTTTAGCATTTGAAGTATTTCAATTTTTATTCAACAGTGTAACCTTTGGAGTTTTGCCTAATAATGACTTCAGTTGTGCTGGTCTTCCAACAGATAAATTGAAATGGAAATGCATATTTCCTAATTATGCATCCAGCCCTAGTTGCATATTGGCAAGAGTGGCCACACTGAATGTTAAATTAAGTCTGCCTGATAGTGAGAGTTTGTGTAACATCAAAGTTTTCCAAAGTCACTTTCTTAATCATGTGAAGGATAGCCGAGACTCTGATCAGTAGTATGTAGCAATATACAATCAGAAGGAAAACATTTAAACATCCCAGCATGGTATTTCCATTTAAATCTGATTACAGTGAAATAAAACTGTAGCCATTACAGGTTTAGAAGAACTACAAATACAAGCAGTAAAAGAAGACAGATAGTAAATGAGGTAGTAAAACATTTCAGTGGGGCAAACAGTTTATAGCACTCATTCAGTCTTCCCGAAGCAGACTGTGCAATTCACTACAGACCCTGCACCCGTTCCCTGAACTCCACTTAAACCTGCAATTAACCTTTCACGCCTAATGAAGCTGTTTTCCTGGAAAATTAAAATATATAGTTGTGCCTGATTTTACACAGACTTGGGAGGAGAGCATTGCAAAATGAATGACTTTTCTAAGGCTTTTGTTCAAATGCAAAATGGAAGTGCTATGTTTGTATATAAAGTAAGAATGTTTTTTCCAAGGCAATTTCATTTGCTGTGCAGTATTTTATTACTGTACTTATTAATTGTTCTGCATAATTGTAAAAAAACACACATCAGTAATTTTATGATTAGATTGTTACTGCTAGAGTCTAATATTACCACTTCATTTCCATTAGGGAAAACTAGAGTTTTACCTACAATAACTAACTTCCTGATATTTCTCCTTGGTGGTTTTTGTTGCAAATTTAGTGGTCTAGAAAAAGATCTATTTACATTTAAATATTTAGCATTTCATCATTTATATTGCTTTCACTTTAGGGCATGTTTGCACATATTTAAAGAGAAAATATTTAAATTTTAGAAAAGAAATATTGTTTTCTTTATGATTACAGGTAAAGGTCTGATTTTAGTATGCTCTACTACAAAATGGTTGGGGCAACTTGGTATCCAACTCTATGATTATTGAATTGTGTTCATTTGCTGAAGGAAATTCTGATAGTCCTAAAAAAAAAAAAAAAATCTGCTTGTTTCAGATTGGCCCTGCCTACATGCCCCAGAGCATCCTGGTCAGGTTCCACATTGGCAAGCATCAGTATGAAGCACCAGAGGCCAAGGGGAATGGACTAGGAAACAGAAGATTTCTGTTTCTTCCTTATGTGGCTTGTACTTCATATTTAAATAATCTAAATGTCATAATGTCTAGTATTTAAGAATTAAAAGTGCAAAGAGGTAAAGCTTATAATAAATATTCAAGCCTCAACATTTTTATTGAATCTACTGGTATATTTTGATGTAAATTTTGCTAGCCCACAGCGTTTGTGTATCATCTTGACATGGTAAATGAAATTCCTTTAGACCGCCAGTCTAAAATAATGAATTGTTCCCCTAGTTAATTGTATTGCTTTGATAACAAAGAACTATGCTAGGCCTAGAGAACACAATAAGTGGATTTCATCAGATGATTTGTGTGACGTTTTGAAAAATGATCTTCTAGAGTGACCTGATTTTAATGGAACTCAGCATGCACCACTGCACAGGATCTGACTGGGACTTCGACCTAGGGCACAAGGCACACAGGTCATTTCCAGAAAACTTCCCATCCAAGAAAACTCCCAAGGAAGTCTAGGCCAGGAAAAAGTGTGCACTGTAAGGGGAACCACAATGGGCCTGTTTCTACGGTGCTCTTATTTTATTGATGCACATCTTTTTTTTTTTTTAATCCGGAAAAGATCTCATTACCCTTCTATCATTGCCAATTTGTAAATAAATCAAGACCAATAAAATAGGAGCAAGCAAAATAGGAGCAATTCATTGAGTGCTTTCTACAGCAAAAGACTGATCCATTGTGGTTTGCACTCTGGCAACAGGCAAAGACGGGCAGAGGAGAGGGAAGGCTTTCAGAACCCAACAGGGACACTTCAGACCGGTGGGCTGGAGGGTGCTAGCTTAAGGAGCTGCATGGACAGGCTGAGTAGAAGTGATGCAGTCTACAACTGGTTAGAGCTACAGATTTGCTTTTCTCTAATTGTCCTAAATTGGAAGTGGGAATACCAGATAGGGAAGCTGTCAGTTATCTTGACCTTCAGAGGACAATCTTCATAGATTATTACTAGAAATAGCAGTTTGAAGTCCTGGTAGTCTGACTTATAGGACCTTGGCTTCCTGTGCTGGTTTTCGTAGGTAATGAGTTGATTTTCCCAGTATGGTATTGTAGATTATGAATCAGGCTTCTGTTTCTATATGTGGACTAGCCATGATCTGTATCTTTATTCTCTCACCAGCATATAAATAGTATGATTAAGTGTTGGGGAAGTAATATTGTCTTCTGGAACGCACACTAAGTTTACTTTTCTTTTTATCAGTTAAGAAAATTAGATCCCTTACAATAACAAAGTGTGGTGAAGCAAAATGGCAAAGTTTACTCCCTCCGCATACCTCATTTCTCTAATGCATCTTCACCACATGGAACTCAGAATGGCAGGGACCTTGTTCCTCTGTTTGTTCTTGTATGCAGGTCCTCTCATGCTGAAAGAGAACCTAGCGTCTTCTGGCTGTTCCGCTTCATTCTTTGGGGAAATTCACCATGTGCAAAACCTAAAAATAATACTTAAAAACTTTAATTTAATTTGACATTCAAAGTATATGCATGCACTCATATACTTGGAGTTACTATACTCAAGGTAGATATACAAATGTAGGTGTACACACAAAAGTTTTATGTTTCTGTATCATTCATAATTAAATTCTAAGATTTATAAAGTTGAATAATTCATACTGGGTTATAAGCTATGTCATCTAGTAGAGGACTCAAGTTAACTCTGAATGAAATTGTCATTACCCCCTTTGTAAGATCTTGGACAAGAGACCCCAAGTGTTCTCTGTGAGCTCACAGAGTACACACTGAAATGTCATTGCCTGGAAGAATGCAAGGTTTCCCAACCCAGTTACTGCCTTTCAAGGAGAACCTGAAAACACGGTTGATTGTTAGATTTTCATAGGAGAAGAAAAAAAGCTGTTAAATTAAGCATGATTTGTTGATTTATTTGTAAGTTAAGAACTGACATATGGTTTTTTTTTTTTTCAACTAAATGTGTTTCCAAGCTTCAAAAGCAGTAGTAAACCCAAGATATGTTGGAAGAGAGAGTTGAATTAAGCATTGAACGTCATATATCTTAAAATACAAAGATAGGTGACAGTTTTAAACTAGTATAGAATTCCCCACTTTGGCAATCCAAATGGTTTGATTCTCTTCTGGCTCTATGTCTTCTGTTAGGATAACATTTGCAGCCACATGTGAAAGGAAAATATTATTTTTCAGAGCTCCTTTGGACTAGGTCATGCAGTAGTTTAATGAACAACATGATTTCATGTTTGAATGGTGTGATCATCGAAATTAGTTTAAGTGGTCTCTGTCACATTAAAGAAGACATATATTATTTGTCATAGTTGGCTGTCTCTAGATAAAATGGTGCCAGGAATGAAATTACGGGAAGTTGTAGATGATGACAGAAATATTCCAAGAGATTTGTGGAAATGTTTTCAGTTAGCATAATCACTGTCTGTGCTTTTTTTAATGAATGCCCTTCACCTCCACCTAGTAAAGAAGTAAGAAAATAATTATTTGATACAGAAGGATGAGACGAAAACTTCTGTATCGGATACTTCAGATGCTCACATGAGTTTGTAAAAGATCAAGAATGTAATTTTTATTTAAACCTTAAATGTGCAGTGTTTCTAAGAAATTCAGGATAACATTTAATACCTTGAAAGAGAAGGATGCTTGACAGCAGGCCTCAAGGGTAAATGTGTATTATTAGTCTTAGTAATGATTATTGCAATTTTTCAATCCCTTTCCTCTCTAACATCTTAAGTTTCTCCTTCTCCACAAACATCCTTTCTTGTTTTCAATCATTTCCCCCACGTAACCACAGGCATCCAGGTCCTGTGCATTTAGTCTGACTCTGCTGACCTCTTAGCATTTTCATCACCCAACATCTTAAATATGAGACTTAGTCTGTTGGCCATATTTCTTCTCATCTGTTTTCCTACCTCACTTTCAAACTTCCATCTACAGTTAGGTTCAGAAATGGCTCAAAAATCACCAGAATCTTCTTGGAGGGACTCTAACAACCTGTGTTATTGACCCTCATGGCCTGTGTGGTGCTTTTGTACAGACTTCCCAAGCTGTGCCTCCCGTGACTTGCACAATGCTGCATCGGTCTAGATGAGCTTCCTCATATACACCAACATCTTCATTGGCATCTCTTTCTATTCACACATTTCTGAAATTCTGCTCTGGACATATCATTTTTTGAAGCTTACCTAGAATAAATTGATTCATAGGAACAAAATAATTTAGTATCTTATGTGGGGTAAGGTGAAAGGAGAGATCTTTCTCTAAGAGCACCGCATGGAGAAGATGGCAATGAGAGCTCAGGGACTGCGTCACCTCACTTCAAAGTCAAGTATCTAAGACCCTAGAGAGAAAGACGCAAATCAGAAGCTCTTCTTGACCTCTGTTTAAATAAAGCTAAGTGATCTGGGCCTGGTAGTACAATATAGTAATTTGAAACATTTTGGTTTACTTAAGAACCTTGAAACACACACACACACACACACACACACACACACACACACACCAAAAAAAAAAAAAAAAAAACCAAACTAAAATGATTCGCGTAGCTAAGATAAACGCGGACATAGAGTTGAACCATTGCTGTGTATAGTTAGCAAATGTTCTACCACCTCTCAGTAGCACCACTCTGGTGACCAAGCCTGAAATACATGGCTTTGGGCAATATTCAACATCCAAATCAGAGAAAAATTGTGTTTCTCAGTGAAAAAGCCAGTCCGAAAGACTACATATTCTTCGATTTCAACTATATGACAGACTTTCTGGAAATGGAGAAACCATAGAGACTTTAAGAAAAATATCAGCATTTGCTGGAAACTTTTGAAAAAGAATAATTCAGGGATTTTTTGGACAGTGAACTACTTTATATGACAGTGTAATGGTGGAAACATGACATTATGCATTTGTCAAAACCCATAGAACTGCACAACACAAACAGTAAGCTAAGTGAAGTATGGGTTGTATTTGATAATCATCTATCAATACTGGCTTAATTTTTCTATAAACATAAAACTGTTCTAACTTTTAAAAATAATATTAATATGATGAGTTTTATTTTTTTAAAAACCCAGTAAGAAACCTTCAGAATTTCTGGTGTATCTAGAACAAATGGTATTCACACATAAAAACTAAGGTGTGGAGTTCTATCCACAACTGAATGTGATACTTCATCAAACACTGAATTTACTCAAAGTTAGATTAATGTTATGAGAGACTTCGTGTAAGAAAAGCGCTATGTGATAACATCCAATGAGCAGCTGACGTTCACGACAAATTGTGAAACTGTACGAAGATGGACCCTAAACACCACTGTCACCACCCCTCCCAGAAATATCTAAATAAGCATTTAAATGCCTCTTGCTTTCTCTTCCAGGCCTTGCAATTGCCAGTGCCCTGATAGACATTTCACAGCAGAAGACTTCAGATAATAAAGATAAAACATCAGGAGTCCGAAATCGAAAACACCTCTCCACACGTCAAGGAACCTGTGTCTGAGAAATGAAAATCTTTCCTGTAGATTCTGTACTGACTTTGTAAATGACTTCCGTTAAAGCTGTTCTATAACTTTACATTTATAGAGGCCAATCTCTGTATAATCCAGGGTCCAAGTACACTTCCCTCTAAATGGGCAATGTCTTAAGTGGCCAAAGAATGTTCATGAGTTTTATAAAAGTAACAGTATTGATGGTCACAGGTGGTAAAGTCAGTTTTTACGACTACTGTATCTTAGGCTTATCATAGCTAACATCAAATTACTCTGGAAAAAGATGTATATTGTTTCTTAATGCAGATGGAAATATATAGTTCATATAAATCAACTTTATATCCCAAGACTTTAAAGAAAGACATTTTATAATTCCTGAAAGATGAAAATTGTACAGTTTTGCCTCATAAGCATCTTAGGTCACCTGTATATGAATAGGAGATGAACACATCCCAGTGGTTTTAAATAGTATTTTATCTCACTGTAACTGGAAGCAGGATTTAGGTTGAGTGGAATTAAGGTATCTTAGTTACTTTTCTCATTGTTGAGACAAATACCTGACACCCAAAGTTAAAAGGAGGAAAGGCTTAATTAGCTCACAGTTTGTAGAGGTCTCAGTCCATAATCAGTTGGCTCCAAGGCAGAAGGCCAACAGTTCATGGTGGTGGAAGACAGCAAAAACAAGAGGAGGGAGAGACAAGAATCCTTCTGTACTTTATATTATATGCTGGCTACCTGACCTAGGGTAGGTGTAGCACTCACACCCTTAATCCTAGCCAGAACTATGCCAAACCTATCAATGGACTGATTTACTAATCACACACTTAATCCCAGCATCACACACTCTAGATTAAGCCACCTCTGAAAAATCTTATGACCACATGAGGCTTTGGGGGGACACAAACCATAACAGCAGGTAATATATTTAAATATTTGACATGACCATATCATGTCCAAACTTGATTTAAGAATGTAACAGTTTTCTATCTAACTGTAATGTAGATCAGAATAAGTCTATTTAGAGCATGTGTGCCATTTCACAAGTGGTAATTAGAATTCTGAGTATAGAGGACATTCCTGTAGTCCATGCCAACTGCCTATCTCATTATCAGAGCTGATAGAGCATGGAAAAGCCTGTCCAGCAATCAATTTTTCTCCTTCTTCCAAAAACAGCCTCCAATATCACAACCTGAAAAAAGCTGAAATATTTTATAGTCTGCAAGCTTCTGCTCCCATCTCGTAACTTTTAATTGCCTAGAAATCATTGGCTCAAACTTAAATGATCTATCTACGTTTCTGTAAGGATGTGTCATTTTCTTTTGGCCTTCTGCTTCTAGCTGCTAGATTTTATTTACCTTCTACAAATGTTATGAAATGTATTTTAGAGGTAACAGCTCCCAAGTTATTATATGACCCAAGTTCCTTCTTGCCAACTGCTTCACGTTGAATCGAAACAGAAAAGAGCATCGTCTGGTATCAGCAGGATCCCTGTTGCAACATGAACACACTGGTGCCATGAGAGAGAGTCTCCAGTTTTAAAAAACAAAATTCATCATTGGCTACATTCAGCACGTTCCTAATGACTCAGAACTCTGAATTATGGCAGAAAGGAAAATAAAAGGAAACAGCTTTCACTCTGGAACACAGAATCATTTGTGTCTGAATATTAACATTTCATTAAAGCTCAGTAGCATTCACGGATCGATTTGGAATTGCAGTTTTTAACTTTAGGGTGACTACAGGATGGAGAACAATTACAGAGATATCCAAAGCTCCTGTGTACAATACCGTTTTATTTACTAAGAAAGTCATTTAAACCTAATTGATGTTTAGTACTATGTATGTACTTTTCATGTTCTTTGGATTTTTGGAAGATAGTAACATTTTACAGTTAAGGCCTTGTTACTTGCATGCTGTGCTTGTACAGTAGCAGATTATGACCCCATTGCAATATTAAATGTTTATTTCAAATGGCACTTATACATAGCTTAATTTAATGAGGATTGAATGTAATATATAACAGGAATGATCATTGTAGTTGCATCTTATAAAAGATTGCTAGATTGCATCTAACCATGACTATGTCATTATTTTGATAATTAGGCATTCATAAATTGTAGTATATATTTCCAATGTTGGAATGATAATTTTCCTATTTTCCATGCATTAAAAATAAGATAATTCTTAAAGTACTTTTAATAATTTTACCTACACTTTTGAGTTTGGGTGGGAGGGGAGAGCTGATTGTCTTTACTTCCCTGTGGTATTTTTATCTCAAAAAATCAGTGAGCTAAGTTTGTAAATGTAGTTACAAAAAACAAGTAATTTTATCAGCTTCTTTTTGGACCATTTAAATGTTGGTTTTTTTCTCATGGAAAAATAAATTGACAAAGAGTAAGTACAAAGATACAATCATTTTAAAATAGAGTGGTTGCCCAGATTGTTTAATTCTCTAACAGATTTCCACTAGAGAAAGCTTACATAACAAAAATATAAAAACATACAGGCTTTCATTTAAAATATCAGTTATATTTTTAGAAAGTTAAGAAAATAGTAGCAATACTTATGAAAGAATTGTCACATTTCATTCACCTTAAATCTCATTGGATTTTAAAACAAATTTTTATTAGTACACATTTTCAATATATGATTACATTCATTATAGGGAACTGGTACATGTACATAACTCCTTAATTATTTTGACCTTTTCTCCAGTTCCTTTTATTTTCCCAGCACCAACTTTATTTATTTAAAGTCATTATAAAGTTAAAAATATAAATCATTTATATGATTTAGCAACCAGACTAATAGGCCAAAAAACATATAAAACTCTTAAGACAATTATTTAAATTCTAGTGAATTGTAGAATATATGTAATGTTAGATTAAAGTCATATTGTACCTTTCTGAGCCATCTATTACTAAACCCATGGCTAATTCTGCATTCTATTCTTGAGATTTATCAAAGCTTTTTAATGACAACAAAATTCTTTGCCTTCAGGTGAAATTGGCAAAAAAAAAATCAAGGATGAAGAATAATCATTTTGAACACATTAAAGTTGGATGCTCTTATTTGAAAGAAAATCAAACCACAAATATATGCAGGTGCCTTCTGAGGAGTTAGCATTAAACTGGTTGATTCTCTTGAAAATTTACCTAAATGGAATTCTGAACGTTTCAGTGTAAAATAACTTTGAAAAAAAAACCTTTAGATTTTACAATTTCTTATTCTTCTAAGTCTATAAAAACTTGGTTAAAGGCAGTGTAGTTTTTGAAAATTAATCTGAGGACACTATTTGGGCACCAAGGAAAACCTTGGTAGAAGAGAACCTGTTGGACTGGGGACTAAGCTCAGTCGTACAGCACGTGCCAGGCAAGCACAAGGTCCTCGGTTTGATTACCAGTACTGAAACAAAAAGAGAAAAAGAGAATCTGTATGTGCTGACAGATCAGTTTAATAAATTTAAGAGAATTCAGATTCTCAATTACTCTAAGTGCATGAAGAGTTATTTTAGAGATACACAGAGAAAAAAAGTAGATGCCGTATTCTATAGTGTTCTGTTTAATAGCAGAACCACAAGCTGGATATATCTAAATGTGTAATGGATCTTACTATATTTTCCAATACCTCATTTTCTCTTGGTGTCAGTAGGATAGAAGCGACTGCATGGCTGCTGTGCCAGTTACTGTGTCACGTAGCATACAGGCTGGTGGCCTTGCTGGAGAACAGACTCCAGAGCCAGCCCTTGTGGTGAGAGGTGCAGGGCCAGAGGTGCAGGGTGAGAAGTGAATGCCCAGCTTCCCCAGCTGCAGAGGGTGGTGATACAGTGCCAACCTCACAAAGCTGGCGTGATGCTAGGAGGTCGCAGACTTCAAGCTCCCACAGTGGCCCTTGATATACCATGGCTGGTGCTGATCATAGGGTTACCGGGCCACCCTTTTCCTACCAACCGATTTATGAACTTGCTGATAAACTTTCATTCACCTGTTCACCATTGTCAAAAGGCAGGTAGCTTGATCCAAAAAGACTTCCTGAATATTTTAAATTCCTATATTTTTTGGATAGGGAGAATTGTAAAAAAAAAAAAAAAAAAAAAAAAAGTTGCTTTTGCATTTGGGTCAAAAGGTCTTTGACTCTAAATCTATGTAAAGTTTTAGTTGAGCATTTTTAAATGACTATTTAATGAGATTTAGACAGAAACAGCAATTGTCATCTTTTCACATACAAACTAGGCAAGAAGGGACCAATATATGGTACATGGTATATATATATATGGTATATATCATATATGGTACATCTTTTTCTGTGAGGATAACACCGTGGTTTGCAAAGTACTTTGTGGTTTTTAAAAGGATTATAGAACTCATCAAATGAAGTAATTCTACTTATCTACACTTTTTCCAAAACCCAATTCCAAAACCCATTTGTTATTTAGTAGTGTGAGGTTGGAAATGAACTAATTCTACTCATTTACACTTTTTATAAAATCCAATTCCAAAACTTATTTGTTATTTAGTAGTGTGAATTTGGAACTAGCTTAATACTTCATAATAATTTGTCATGTTAGTGTGATTCCTACCTTCAGAATGGAAGGATCGGGGTGGCCCTGGAGGGTGGGTGATACAGTGCTTCTTACTAAGAGGCAAATTAGGGGAACACTGCTATGGGCCAAAGAGTAGCCTTTATCTATAATTAGAAGGAGCTCTTTAATTAATGAAGTTACCATCCTAATTCAAAAATGTTTTACATAATTTTCCAAGGAATACAAGCCATCTGGTTGGTACTAGGCAGTGTTTTCGTTGTAGTATGCATTTAACATTTTAGTTTTAGCAAATTTTCTAAATTAAGTATTAGAATCAAAGCTACTATCAGTATATAAGTATAGAGGTATGCATGCCAGTGTTAAAAACAGATTGTGTGAAAGTTCAAATCTGCTTTAAAAAGCCAGCATTTGAGAATATAATGTGCTATTAGTCAG